TAGTTACATCAAAATTTATTTGGCCATCAATAAACAAAGACATTCGTGATTGGACCAAGAGTTGTTTGAAATGCCAGAAATCCAAAATTTCTAAACATAATCATTCTCCATTACAAGAATATCCTATAGTTGGTCAACGATTTCAAGACATTAATCTAGACCTGATTGGACCTTTGCCATCATCAGAAGGATTTCGTTATTGCCTTACGATAATTGATCGCTACACGCGATGGGCAGAAGCCATTCCTTTACCTGATATTCGAGCAGAGACAGTTTCTGATGCTTTATTGAAAAATTGGATCGCTCGCTACGGTATTCCAAGCGTAATTACAACTGATCAGGGTGCGCAATTTGAGTCTCAATTGTTCCAAGAACTTTCGAAATTACTTGGTTTTAAAAGAAATAGAACTACTGCATATCACCCACAAGCTAATGGCTGTGTAGAACGTTGGCATCGTACTTTGAAAGCAAGCATAATGTGTCATGAAAATCCAAGCTGGACAAAGTCACTTCCGATTATTCTACTTGGTTTACGCACAACCTTGCGAGATGACTGTCAAGCCACCCCAGCAGAACTCTTGTATGGTGAAAATATAAAACTACCATATGACTTTTTTGAAAATTCAAACATTGAAGCGCAATCAGAATTCATTCAGAATTTAAAAAGCACCATGGAAAAATTAAAACCCGTCCCATTTCGTCATCACTCGAAGCAGAAACCATTTATATTCAAAGATTTAAAAACTTGCTCACACGTGTTTGTCCGTACTGACAGTGTTCGTCATAGTTTGCAACAACCATATCATGGACCATATAAAGTTTTAAAGAGAACCGATAAAATTTTCACTGTTAAAATGAAGCAAAAAGAAGTTAATGTATCTATAGATAGAATAAAGCCCTATTTTTTGGACATTTCTACAGAATCTGAAAAGACTTCAGAAACACCTTTACTGGTAGAAAAGAATTGTGGACCTATTTCATCGTCTACAATTTCTAAAGCTGCTACAAAGCAAGGCAATGGAAACAAAAGAGTGAAGCTTGTTATTCCACCCCAAGTGACTAGATCTGGACGTACAGTGTGTATTCCAGCACGTTACACATGAGATTCTTCATCGTTCGAGTAACTCACTAGGGGGGGGGAGTTCTGTGGTGCGCAAGAGCAATAACATAACAAGCATTTATATTTAGTTTTATGAAAAATAAAAACAACGTTGCTAAGACAACTCAATATTAATTACTATATTGACGTTCCAGACATTGGGATGTAAAAGTTATAATGGATTTATATATTTTATATTAACTTGTAAATAACTGTGTATATTAAATGTTGTGATGTCTCCAATTTACTTCGTTTTTATTTATCCAAAATCGCACATAGTAGGAAAATAGAAAACCTTCCCTTACAGTACCACCCGACATTTCAAATATGTTCGCGAGAGAGTCTCCTAATGATGCCAATAACTACGACTTTGTAAAAGAATTGATTCTTAAACAATATAAGCTTAATGCAGAGGAACTCAAACAAAATTTTTATCGACATTTTAAATCACCTGAAAAATCTTGGCGAAATTTTGCACAAGAATTAAATTGCTATTTTAGCGAATGGGTTTCTGAAGTAAAAATTACCACTTTCGATGATCTTAAGAGTTTGATGGTTACCGAGAAAATGAAACGTCATGTACCAAATGACATGAGAGATCATTTTCTTGAAGATTGGATGGAATTGAATTCTTATTCCAAATTAGCCGGGAAATTGGACGTCTATGAAAGTTTAAAAAACAGTTTCAAGGAAAAGTCTGTGTCTTATAATCGAAGTAACCAAAATGATTCTTGGCGATCTATGAACCAAAGTGATATCAGAACTAAAGAAAAGTTGACTTGGCAGAAAAATAATGTTAAAGAAAATGTTCGCGAAAGAGAATTTGAAAGAAGAAGACAGCTTAGATGCTATGAATGTGGTTCTTATGATCATCTACGCCCTCAATGTCCCAAGGCGAAAGCAAATTCAGAAACTGTGGCTTCGCTTCACGTTTCGGAACCAAGGTTTCCTGATATAATGACACCATATACGAGCATTTGCGTGGTAAATGGCGTTGACATTTCAATACTACGAGACACTGGCGCAACCTTGGATTTAATTCCTAGGAGATTTGTAAAACCTGAAATGTACACGGGTGAGTTTGTTTGGATAAAAACTCCAATACAGGAAGAATCATTTTGTTTCCCATTAGCCGGAGTTGAATTAAACTGTAAGTTAGGAAAAGTGGTTACTAAGGCAGCTGTATTAGGTGATTCTCTTGATCAAGGGTATTATTTATTGGGTAACAAAACGGGTGCTCTATTGGAAAATTCGTTTGAAGTCCCAATGATAAGTGCTGTAATGACTCGAAAACAAGAAAAAATGAATGAAAGGAGGGAAGTAGAAAATAAAGATAATGTACAGCTCGGTATAGTCGATTTCAATGAACTTCCGTTACTTCTGATCAAACGGCGAAAAGCGATGACTTACTCACTGAAAAGATATTACCTTGTAATAAAGAATTTATTGGTATCGAACTGTTAAATATTTCGCCACAAAATTTCCAAGAATCCCAAAGAGAAAGTGAAGAGTTTAAAATTATTTTTGAAAAGATTCGTGACTCTCCTTTGTCACAGAATAAATACGAGATTTATAATGAAATTTTATATTTTATGAAAAAAGATAGAAGTGGTGAAAAAAGGAGGCTATTAATGGTACCAGAAAAATTTAGGTTTCAGCTGATGAACCTCTGTCATGAAAGTGTTGTATCTCATCTAGGAGCTACCAAAACGAAGGATGCGATGGCAAAAATTTTTTATTGGCCAAATTGTTACCGAGATATTGAAGATTTTGTTAAAACATGTGATTTGTGTCAACGGGTTGGAAAATCTCAAGATAAAAGGAAAGCTCCTTTAAAGTTAGTGCCCGTTATTCCAGAGATATTCACTAAAATAAATGTCGATACATGTGGGCCTCTCCCTATCACTGATTCAGGAAATAGATATCTTATTACTGCAATTTGTTTGTCTTCTAAATATCCGGATGCCATCCCAGTAACAGACATTAGCTCACCTAGAGTGGTGGAGGCATTGTTAATTTTTAGCAGAATGGGCTTCCCTAGAGAGTTACAATGTGATCAAGGAACGTCTTTTGTCAGCGCTCTTACAACAGAATTCTTGGAAAAATTTGGAATCAGAGTATTACATAGCTCTGTGCAGCACCCACAAAGTAATCCGGTTGAACGCTTTCATAGGACTATGAAAAGAATTTTACGCGTCCTATGCTTAGAGTCTGGAACGAATTGGGAGCAACATTTACCTCATGTGCTTTTTGCTTTAAGGTCTGTGGTACATAATAGTACCGGATTTACTCCAGCTGAACTAGTGCATGGAAAAAATCTTCGAACGCCCATGACATTAATTTATGAAAAATTATCTAATAAAATTGATTCTGAAAATACGGTCACGGAGTATGTTTTCTCCCTTTTAAATAGAATGAGAAGAAGCCAGGAACTTGCAGTTCAGAACATGAAAGATGCCAAACAGAAACAAAAAGTTTGGTATGATAGGAAAGTCATTAGGCGAGATTTTAAAATGGGCGAGGCTGTTTTAGTTATAGCGCCTACAAGACCTAATAAATTATCAGTGCAATGGATTGGGCCAATGAAAGTGGTGAAAAAACTATCTGAAACAAATTATGTGGTTCAAACTTTGGAAAAAGATACGACTCACGTGTATCACGTTAATATGCTAAAGCCTTATTTCCAAAGAACTGAAACCGTTAATTTAGTTCAACTGATGACTCCAAGTGCTTTGGATTTGCACTATTCGATGGAACCGGTTAATTTTGAAAATGAGGAGAAGTTTAAGAAATTATTGCAGGATAGTGAAGTAGAAACTTGACTGGATGATCACCAAATAAGCGAATTGAAACTTCTACTGGATAAATACATTGATTTGTTTTCAACTGACCCTGGTTGTACTCATTTAGTAGAATTAGAAACCGAAAAGCCAATATATACAAAACCCTATCTCTTCGTCAAACTAAAATATTGAAAGAAGAAAATGCTGATGGCTAAGATCATTGAATCTGATTTCGCGTCACCATTAATATTAGTTGAAGTTCCAGGAAAAGATCCTAAGCCATGTATCGACGTTTGAATCAAATTACTCGTAGCCTTTACCAAATATTGAAGAAAGAGTAGAGCAAGTGTCCAAAGCTAAGTACATAAGCTTAATCGATATGACCAGAGGATATTGACAGCTGCCTTTGAATAAAAGAGCTCAACGATATGCTGCATTTGTTACTTCTTTTGGATCCTTTAGACCACTGAGAATGGCTTTTGGATTAAAGAATGCATCTTTTTATTTTAGTAAACTAATGGCCGAAATACTAAAAGGATGTGAAAATTACGCTCTTCCATACCTCGATGACGTCACCATTTTCTCGAACACTTGGGATGAACATATTATTCATCTCAACACCGCATTGAAAAGAATTCAAGACGCCAATTTAAAGATTAAGCCATCTAAATGTAAATTTGCACAATTCTATGCAAAATATCTAGGCCATCAAGTGGGACAAAGACAAAGAAGTCCAGGAGAACTCAAGGTAAAAACTGTTGAAGACTTCCCTGTACCAAAAACCAAGAGTGAAGTGCGGGCTTTCTTGGGACTTGCTGGATATTATCGTAAATATATTCCAGAGTTTTCCTTAATCTCAAACCCAATAACGGATTTATTGAAAGGAAAATCTAAGAAGGAGTCTATACTTTGGAATGACGAATGTCAAGAGGCTTTCATAACCCTGAAATTGAAGTTATCTGATAGCCCCGTTCTGTACAGTCCTGATTTTGATAAACCCTTTATAGTACAGTGTGATGCCTCAAAACTTGGAATGGGTGTAGTATTATCGCAAATCAATGATAGAGGAGAAGAACATCCCATACTATATTTAAGTAGAAAATTCAGTGAAGCTGAAAGTAGGTACAGTACCGTAGAAAAAGAATGTTTGGCAATTATATTTGCTGTCAAGAAGTTAAAGTGCTATATATATGGTCCTCACAAATTTATAATTCAAACAGATCATAATCCTTTAGTATGGCTTAAACAAAACACTGGATTCAATTTCCGACTATTACGATGGGCCTTATCCTTGCAGCATTTGAACTTCGTTATACATAAACCTGGAACTATGCATATCAATGCTGATAGTTTGAGTCGACTAACTTAGTCATTTGGGCACATCAAGTTGAGCCTGTTGTTAACTTTTATTTTCCTATATACAGATAAACAAAACAGTTTTATGTCAGCCTATATAGATCAGTTTTGACAAAATTTTATGTATGTTTTTTTTGCCATTTCCTACTTTTGCAAAGAAAACTCTGTGGAAGGGAGGAGTTAGACTGTAACGTAACAGTGTGTGACAACTGAGCTAAAAGCATCAATTCTTCGAGAGGTAATGCTAAAATGATGTTGCTTGAGAGACACACACGAGAAGTGATGTTCTTTTTTTTTTTGTTGAGAAAGAGAGTTTTTTTCTGAGAAGATATATTTTCTTTGGGTAATATTTTGTGATTTTTCGTGTGAATGTTTAAATAAATTGTTTGGTACAACTCACGTCTTATTTCTGGTTGTTGTGACACAACAATGTGTATATTCTAAATTAATATTAAGCGAAACTTAATCTAAATAAATCAATAATCACTGGGGACCTCGGGATTGTGACACCCGTGTTTACTCACAAGTAAACCCCCTGAGGAAATATTTTGGTCATAATCAATTTCCAAGTATATGACCATGAATCCCTAATGAGCTGTGAAGTTAGTGAAATCTGATTTTTCAGAAGAAAAAATCTGCCAATGCAAAAACTAGATTGTAAGTTTTGCTTTGTTAGTTTCCAGTATAATTTTATTCATGGAGCCCTGAATAACTCATAATAGTTTGAGATCAATGCATAGAACATTACTGTGTATTAAAAAATATATAACTAGTCTCGATTTGTTCCCTATCTTTCATAGCAAAATTAAATTTAAATTTGCTATAGAAATCAAAACTTCCTTCATCAAATAATTTTAAAATAGGGTTCTAATAATCTCAAAATGGAGACAGTAATGTGCACATTTTTGTACTAAAGTAATTTGATACAAAATCACTGAATTCTCCTTTTAAAAAATTCTATACTACTCCGTAGTTGATTGAAATTAAACATTTTTATCGCTAGAGCTACCGTTAATTAATGGTATTCAAGTTTATTTTTTTAAAATTAAAAAAATCATGTATAGTTTTAAGATATTTTGACAACTTTCAATCATATACTTAAGAAGTTATATTTCCCTCATCAATTTCCTCATGGCCATTTTTTACTTTCATGATTTGTATGACCTATGCAAATTAACACTAATTTGCTTCCACTACTTGCTTTGCTTTCGCCAGTAAAATCCCTCAATAGCTTCATCAGACAATAGCTTCTACTAGAATTATCTTCCATTTTTGTTCCACACAAATTCTATAAGCTTAGGCGTTATATGTTAATATCATTAAGCATTCTAATTAAGTAATAACATCACTTTTTCGCACTCACTAAAGTGTGACTATATGTGTATAGTGTTTATTTTAAATTCATAGTAAGTAAACCTTATTCCAAATAAAACAATAATCACTGGGGTGCCTCGGGATTGTGACACCCGTGTTTACTCATGAGTAAACCCCCTGAGGAATTATTTAGATCATAATTAACTCCTTTTGACTGATAATTAGGATCTTACGATCTCTCCAACAAACTTCATTTTTTAAATTAGTTGAGAGATTGATTGCTAACAGATTCATTTTTCAGATGGGCCCACAGAGCTGTTATTCCCATTATTTTTGATGTCTGGTGAGGTCATGAGCTTCTTGTATCTACTGTCTCTGGATCCATTCAGCCGTCTCCGATATTCTGAACCATCTGACTCACCACCTAAATAAAACACAAGATTCACAATTTAAGCAATTTATCTAAAAATAAATTAAAGTGACGACATAACTTCTGGAGAAACAAAAATATTACAACTAGCTCTCTAACTTGCAATCTAGTACAGTGAAATAATTTGGTACCCAAATTAGTTATATTATGCTCGTTTTAATAAAAGATAATACTTGAAAGTGAAACCATTGCAGGGTTCGAAGTCAATTTCAGATAGAAAAAAATTCCCTGACATTTCCACGTATATCGAGAAAACTTCAATGAAAATGAAGACTATATTTTATCTATAACATGCAATTTTTCATCAAAACACTTTCAGTTTTTAAGTCATATATTAGATTCTGTGAACAAAAGAAATATAACTGAATAAGGAGGAAGGCACAGAAGTTTCACTAAAATGTAAAATTTTTGCTACAAATAATTGTCATAGAATTATTCAACATGAATCTCAATAACTGACTCATTGTTACTGACAATTTTGAGACTGATTATTTTCCAGGTAAGAATTTTACAGGTTTTTATAAACTTTCCCAGCTCAATAGAATCAAAATAAAATTCCAGTTTCTCCTTTGAATTGTGGA